AGGAGGAGGCGGATGAGGAGGAGGAGGAGGATGGGGAGGAGGAGAGGCACGAGGAGGAGGAGGAGGAGCAGGAGGAGGAAGATGATGAGGAGGACGAGGAGGAGGAGCAGGACGATGATGATGATGAGGAGGAGAATGAGGAATATGATGATGATGACGATGATGATGATGATGATGATGCTGATGATGACGATGACGATGATGATGATGACGATGATGATGATGATGCTGATGATGATGATGATGATGAACATGATAATGATGATAATGATCAGGATGATGATGATGCTGATGATGGATGCTGCTGATGATGATTATGATGCTAATTATGCTGATGATCGTGATGATGATGATGATGATTCTGATGGAGATGATGCTAATGCTGCTGCTGATGATGAGGAGGCGGAGGAGGAGGCGGAGGAGTGGGAGAAAGAGGATGAGGAGGAGGCGGAGTGGGGGACACGGTGGAGGACGAGGATGAGGCGGAGAAGGGTGAGGATGAGGATGAGGTTGAGGGAGGAGGATGCGGAGAATGATAATGATGATGATGCTGATGATGATGATGATCATGCTGATGCTGATGATGCTGCTGATGATGCTGCTGATGATGTTGATGATGCTGCTGAAGATGATTGTGGTGTTTTCTTCCGATGGTGCTGATGATGAGCATGATGTGATGAACCTATTGCTGCCGCTGCTGTTGCTGCTGCTGATGCTAATGCCGATGATGATGCTGATGATGCTGATGATGTTGATGATGATGATGCTGATGATGGTGGTGCTGATGCTGGCGATGATGATGATGATGATGCTGATGATGATGATGATGATGGTGGTGCTGATGATGGCGATGATGATGCTGCTGATGATGATGCTGATGCTGATGATGCTGCTGATGATTATGAACAGGCTGGTGATGCTGTTCATGCTCATGCTTGTGCTGATGATGATGCTGATGCTGATGATGTTGACATTGATGCTGCTGATAGCGATGATGCTGATGATGCTGATTATGCTGACGACGATGCTGATGAGGATGATGATGGTGATGATGATGCTGGTTACGATGATGGTGCTGTCGTTTTCAATGTTGCTGATGATGAGTATGATGGGATGAAGCTATTGCTGCTGCTGTTGCCGCTGCTGATGATGATAATGATGCTGATGATGATGATGATGATGCTGACGATGATGATGATGATGGTGATAATGATAACCGTCTCGCGGTCTCCCCCCTGCACATGATGATGGTGATGATGATGATGATGACGATGATGATGATGATGATGATGATGATTCTGACGATGATGCTGCTACTGCTAATGCTGATGATGCTGATGCTGATGGTGATGATGATGCTGATGATTATGATGATGCTGGTGATGCTGCTCATGATGATGATGATGATGATGATGATGATGATGAGGATGCTGATAATGATGCTGCCGATGATGCTGCTTATGCTGATGTTGCTGATGATGATGCCGATGATGGTGGCTTGGTTGACGATGATGATGAGGATGATGATGGCGATGATGCTGCTGACGCTGATGGTGCTGTTGTGTTCGACGATGCTGATGATGAGTATGATGAGTTGAAGCTGTTGCTGCTGCTGATGATGGTGACGATGATGATGCTACTGCTGCTGATGATGACGATGCTGATGCTCATGCTGCTGATGTTGATGATGGTGATGATGATGGCGGTGCTGTTGATGACGACGATGCTGGTGATGATGATGATGCCGACGATGATGGTGATGCTGATGTTGCTGATGCCGGTGTTGATGATGATGCTGCTGATGATGCTGCTGATGATGATGCTGCTGATGATACTGATGCTGATGCTGATGATGCTGATGATGTTGATGATGATGCTGACGATGCTGATTATAATGATGATGATGATGATGCTGATGATGATGATGATGATGATTATGTTGATGATGATGCTGCTGATGATGATTATTAGGATGCTGATGCTGATGATGATGTTGATGCTGATGATGATGGTGATGCTGATGCTGATGATGCTGCTGATGCTGATGATGCTGATGATGATGGTGCTGGTGATGGTGTTGCTTCTCATGGTGATGCTTATGATGCTGCTGCTGCTGATGATGATGATGATGACGATGATGATGATGATGATGATGATGATGATGATGATGATGATGATGATGATGATGATGATGATGATGATGATGATGATGATGATGATGATGCTGACGAGGGGTAGGAGGAGGACGAGGAGGAGGAGGAGGAGGTGGTGGAGGATGAGGAGGAGGAGGAACAGGAGGAGGAGGAGGAGGAAGATGAGGAGGAGGATGAGGAGGAGCAGGAGGAGGATGAGGCAGGAGGGAGGAGCGAGGAGGAGGACCGAGGAGGGAGAAGGCAGGAGGGAGGAGCGAGGAGCGAGGAGGAGGGAGGAGGAGGAGAAGAAGGAGGAGTAGGAGGATCAGCAGGAGGAGGACACGGAGGAGGAGGAGGAGGAGGAGGAGGAAGGAGGATGACGAGGATGATGATGATGATGATGATGATGATGATGATGATGATGATGATGATGATGATGATGATGGTGGTGGTGGTGGTGGTGGTGGTGATGATGATGATGATAATGATGATGATGATGATGATGATCATGATGATGACGAGGATGATGTTGCGGATGATGATGCTGATGATGATGATGATGAGGAGGAGGAGGAGGAGGAGGAGGTGGAGGAGGAGGAGGATACGTATGGAGGAGGAGGGGTGGAGGAGGTGGGGTGGAGGAGGAGGGGTGGAAGAGGAGAAGGAGCAGGATATCAACGCCGCGAGCCAACTTTACTGTTGCATCCTGGCGATCCTGCATCGGGTCAGAATACCGTGCCTGGGACTTCAACACCGCGAATCAACGAGACTGTTGCGCCCTGACAGCCATACATCGTTTCGGAGCACAATTTCTGGGAGGTCAACCAAAGAACCATTTCAATGGTTGAAACTTTTCAGACGGTTACGGGCGGAGGTAAGGCGAGAGCCGCTTTTTGAAAAGGACCCGCCATCCATCCGGGAAGCTCTTGTCAATTTTTGTAAAAAGTGTGCGCGGCCCTCCATCCGTGAAGCTCTTGCAATATTTGAAGAAGCTTGTGTGCGGCGCCCAGGCGAGGGCCTCATTTTGCAAACGAGCTGCCCTTAATCCGCGAAGCTCTTGCACACTTTTGAGATAGTTGTGCCCGTCGCTCAGGCGAGAGCCGCATTTGGACACCACCCGCCTGTCATCCGTAGAACATTGGCAAGCTTTTTGAATGAGTGTGTGCGGTGCTGATGTTAGAGCCATATTTTTCAAAAGGGCCCGCCCTTCATCCGTGAAGCTCTTGCAGAGATTTGAGACGAGTGTGCGCGGCGCTCAGGCGAGAGCCACATTTTGAGCAGGACTCGCCCTCCATCCGTGATGCTCTTCCAAACTTTTGCAACGACTGTGCGCAGCGCTCAGGCGAGAGCCGACATTTCCTCAACAAAGGACCCGCCTTTCATCCGTGAAACTCGTGCGAACTTCTAAGGCGACTGTGCGCGGAGCTCGGCCGGGAGCCACGTTTTGGGAAGGAGTCGCCCTCCATCCGTGCAGATCGTGCAATCTTTGAAGACGACCGTGCGAGGCGTTTAGACCAGTGCTTCATTTTGGAGAGGAGCCGCCCTCCATCCGTAAGAGCCCCTGCGCACTTTTAGGAGGACTGCGCGCGGCACCGAGGCGCCCTCCAGCCGCCCTCTAGCCGTGAAGCTGCTGCAACTTTTCATATCGTAATCATACGTTGTGAGGGGGTCTTGGGCGAAGCGCCCGGCCGGCCCTGTCAACGCGTCTCGGGGCGCGACAGGGAGGACTTATTTACAAGGGGCAGGAATCCAGGAGGAACGATGCATCGCTGATGCTCGGCGGTGCGGCGCACTCCTCCGAGCCAACCTGCCCTGGCCCCCTTGGGGAGGCCCCCAGACCGAGGGCCCCTATGGGAGGCCTCCAGTTCGAGGAGACGGACCGAGGTGACCCTGCCAGCCCCCGACAGTTGTTGGAACTCAGAACCTCGGCAGGCTCAGCAGAGGTCTCTATCCGGATAAGGGTGCCTCGGCAGACCTGGGCGGAACTCATTCCTCCTCGTGGTAACAGGTCACGTCGTTCAGTCCTCTCATGTGGCTTAATTCGGTTCCACTGGTGTCTCTCGCACTCGCGATCTCAGGTAATGTCGTCGGCGGCTAAAAGAATGAGGACGGGTCGAGGCCTCTGGGCGTTTTGGCCCCTGACTTACACCTGGTGCCCTCCCAGATGGGCACGGAGAGCGCCGACCATTCACCTGTAGACCGCTCCTCGGATGAGGGTCGGCGTGTATGCCTTCCTGGCCAAGTCAGGAGGCGGAGGAGGAGGAGGAGGAGGAGGAGGAGGAGGAGGAGGAGGAGGAGGAGGAGGAGGAGGAGGAGGAGGAGGAGGAGCGAGGAGGAGGAGGAGCGAGGAGGAGCGAGGAGGGAGGAGCGAGGAGGGAGGAGCCCCTGATGTTCTTCGCGTTCGTGCCCTCCTCCCTTGAGCGCTTTTCCTTTCAGGTTGCCTCCACGGGGGGCCTGTGGCCTTCGGCGAAGGGGCTCCTCGCCTCCCTGTGCAGTGAAGGCGCTGAACTACGAACCATTCTGTGCTCAGAGGGCGCTCGGGAGGGGCTCCGGTTTTCGGGCCGCTCTTTAGATCTAGGCATCCAGGTCGAGGAGCCTCTTTGTGGCCGAGGCTCGCCGTGGCCAGATCAGCTCCTTCTCTCCTCCTTGCCGCGTTCCCAGCGGCACCGCGATGACTCCGCGCCGATGCTGAGCCCAGAATTTGCCTGCCAGGATCGGTGACAGCTGCATGTTGGGCGCCCTTCCAATGGGGCGGGGCCGAGGGCCCCCCCTCCCCCCCCCTCCTAGCGCCCCCGCTGCCCGCCAGGAGGAGGGCCGCCTCGGGCAGGGTTGGCCCGCCACTACCCAAGGCCTCGCCGAAGAATGCGCCACCTTCGCCGTCGCTGTGGCCGTCGCCGTCGCCGCCGCTGTCGCCGGCGCCGTCGCCATCGCCGTCGCTGTCGGCGTCGCTGTCGCCGTCATGGTCGTCGCCGTCGCCGCCGCTGTCGCCGTCGCCGTCGCCATCGCCGTCGCCGTCGGCTTCGCCGTCGCCGTCACCCTCATCGTCGTCGCCGCTGTCGTCGTCGCCGTCGCCGCCGCTGTCCTCGTCGCCGTCGTCGTTGCCGTCGTCGTCGCCGCCGCCCCCCCCCATAACATCTGGGGAGGGAGGGGGGGGGACGTGGGAACCCTGGGACCCATATCATCCGCGGGGGGAGGGTGGCACCCGACACCCTGGATCATATATGATCCAGGGTTGCCCCTCCACCCCGGCCTTTCTTGGGATCAGGGCCCCCCCTCCGCCGATAACCCCCCTGTGGGTGTGGTGTGGTGCTGTGGGTGTGGTGTGGTGCTGCAGTGCCCCCCCCCCGTGGGTGTAGTGTGGTGCTCTGGTGCCTCAGCGAGCAGGAGGGCTGTAACCACCCAGCTCCCGGGGACTCGGCCTCCAGGAGAGGTTAAGAGGGCGTCGTCGTCGTCGTCGTCGTGGTCGTCGTGGTCGTCGTGGTCGTCGTGGTAGTCGTGGTCGTCGTCGTGGTCGTCGTCGCCGTCGTCGTCGACGCTGCCGCCGCCGCCGCCGCCGCCGCCGCCGCCGCCGCCGCCGCCGTCGTCGTCGTCGTCGTCGTCGTCGTCGTCGTCGTCGTCGTCGTCGTCGTCGTCGTCGTCGTCGTCGTCGTGGTGGTCGTCGTCGTCGTCGTCGTCGTCGTCGTGGTCGTCGTCGTCGTCGTTGTCGTCGTCGTCTTCTTCTTCGCCGTCGCCGTCGCCGTTGCCGTCGCCGTTGTCGTCGACGTCGTCGTCGTCGTCGACGAAGATGTTCCGTGCGCGGAGACGGTAAAATGTTTGGGTTGCTCCTTGGACAGTAGAGAGGACGTCGGTAAACAGAGCAGCGCCCGCATCCGAAAACTGCGACCAAACGATGCAGCGACTGGATGCGTTCTGGCTGCGCAGCGACTGCTCTGACACAGCGGCTCGACGGTTTCCAACTGAAAGGCCTCCGCAAGATCCTTGGGACCTCGACTACGTTCGGCCGTATGGCCCAAGGCCAGGGCCGCACGAACACGAACGTGTACATCTACAGCCGAGCCCCAAATTTCCTCAACGGCAGGAGGCCTCACAGAGCCCTCGAACTATTCAGCGCCATGTACGAAAGACTCAATCATGATCTGCTCTGCCGCCTGACCTCAGCCCCCGCGACTGACCCAGTCGCCTCCTGCATTTCTCGGTCCATACACGCTCCAGCCTTGGGACTTTGGTCCCAAACGCGTCGCGAGACCACGGAAGGCTGGCGAATTGTACGAGCATGCCGTAGACACCTTCTGGCGGTTTCAGTAGTGCCACCCTGGCCATGGCTCGAAGACACAGCGCTCGACCTCACACTGACCTCCCACAGAGTACTTATACGAGTCACGGCGTGGCAAAGGATGCAGAAACTCCACCCCGCGCTATACCCTTATACCCTGAACATTTTCCCCCACCGCCCGCCCCTCCAGCAGGGACACATGGGGCGGGGTTGCGCTTCGGCGACAGATGGGTCTACGTACGCAGGTTGAGCAAACTGGTTGTTCTGTTGCTCGACCGCCTGCGAGAAAAGAAACAAATCTGGTCCACCCTGCCTGAACGGCCCTTGTCCTCTCCCTCGCTGCCGCCTTGGGTCCGCCCCCGTCCCCCCCCTTCTCTTCCCCCTCCCCCCCTTCCCCTCCTCCCTCCCCCCTCCTTTCCCCCCTACCCCCCCCCAGGGGGGAGAGCGGATGTTCCACAGGTGACCGTTGGATGATTCTGGCAAGAAGCCTTGGCCGCACGCTGCCAGCATAAATCGATATCCCAGCCGTAGAAATGACGATCGGCCACAGGAGGCTTCGCCTCCCGGCTGCCCGTGTTCAGAACTAGGTCCAGAGTTTCTTCTCGGACGGGGTTCGCGGCAGTCGAACCACGAGCAAAGTATGTGTGTAGACATGTCCAGACCTGGGCCACTATTGAAGACAACGGGACGTGTGGTTTTTGTTTGATTAGGCTGAGGTTCCCCTAACAGTGCTTGCAACTTCGCGTTCTTACTTGGCTTTACAGGAACTGGGATCGTCTTTCGCCCCGGCCGGCTTGTTCTTGCCCCGTCGCCGCCCCGTCGCCGCTTGTCGCTGCCCGTCGCCGCCTCGTCGCCGCCCGTCGCCAGCGCAGCTGGGCTGGTCTGCCGCCCCAGCCAGTTTGTTCTCGCTCCGTCGCCGCCCCGTCGCCGCTCTTCGCCGCCCGTCGCCGCCTCGTCGCCGCCCGTGGAACCCGCTTTGTCGCCGACACCGCATACATTTTGCTTCACCACGTAGATTGCCCCACATAGAGACTGGACCACACATACTGCTTCACGTAGAGAGCACCACATATGCTGCACCAGTCTTACGGCCTCATGCGCAACCCTGCCACTGAGAATATCCAAACACCCACGCCAACACCAGCGCCAACACCAATGTTTGTCCCTACGCCAGCACCAACAACGCCAGCGCCTGCATCAGCGCCGACATCAGTACGGGCGCCGACGCTTACGCCAGCGCCCGCACCAGCACCGAAGCCAGAACCAGTTTCGTCGTGCTGTCCCACCCGCTATCATGTCTCCCATCTCACCTACCGACTTCGGAGTGTCAGCCCATCCGCTATCCGAGGCCCAACCTTACGCGTCAGCTTAGGCGCGCCAGCTCGGGAGCGCCTGCGCCGCGCCAGCACCGGCGCCAGCACCGACGCCAGCGCAGAATTGTGAGTAGCACGACGGGCATCACGAGCAGTACGCTGGAGGCTATGAGATCTACGAGGAATATCACGTGCAGCACGACGGCTACCATGAGCAGCACAGCACATACCACGGGCAACACGACGGATCGACACAGTCGCACGACGAGAGTCACGAGTAGCCACTTGTCCATCTTCTATGCTGTCTGCACTCGTGGACTCGTGCGCCCGCCCCATGCTGCCTACTCCATCATCACAGGCTCCGTGCTGTCTGGCACGGCGGAGTCGTGCAAAATCTCAGGTTCTAACTGCAGGTCCTACTCCGATTCCGACTCCGGCTCCAGCTCCGACGCCGATGCGGCGACGCCCTCCCGGCCGGCGGCGAAGACGTCTACCCGGCCCCTTTTTTGCACGGCCAACCAGCAGTTCCAATTCCCACCAATCCCACCACCCGCACCACCACCGCCACAGCCACGACCATCAGCGCCACGACTCCGGCCCTGGCAGCGACGTGGCGCTCACTCCGCCTGCCGCCACACGCTCCTCCACGCCTGCCCCTCCGGCGGCCGACGCTGGCAACGATATCAGCTCCAGCTCCACTTCAGCGCGTGCTCCGGCTCCGACCCCGCCTCCGATTCCAGCGACAACTCCGGCGTCGACTCTCTCCTGGCCCGGCTCTCACCCTGGCTCCGGAGTTCAGTGCAAGACCTTGGTACGGGACGTTGCGCAGCCGGGTGCCTGGATATACTTGTGTTGTACTTCGGCCTCCGTCCACCCAAGTGAGGGCTACCACCGGTGCTAGATCTACTTGCACCTCTGCCTGTCTTACTTCTTGTGGACCCTCGCGTCGCTTTTGCTCTCCTTTGCCTCTTCTTCTTTCTGTCTTCCGCCTTTCCTGCTTCGTCCTCTGGGCTCCGTTAGTTTTGAAAGAGCGTGTTCTACCGCTGCTGGCGGAAAACCGGGGGGGGTCACTACCGGTTCAAACCCCTCCCCCCCCCCCTCCGGAAAACTGGGGGGGGTCACTACCGGTGCGAACCCCTCCCCCCCCCCAGTTCATCATGAAAAGGGGGGGGGGTCACTACCGGTTCGAATCCCCCCCCCCCCCCCTCGAAAACCGGGGGGGGTCACTACCGGTTCGAACCCCCCCCCCCCTCGAAAACCGAGTGGGGGTGCGGACAGTGGTGGGGACGGTGTTGGTGGGGACAGTGGTGAGGGGACAGCGGGACAGTGGTGGGGACAGTGGGACAGTGGGACAGTGGTGGGGACGGTAGTGGTGGGGACAGTGGTGGGGACAATGGTGGGAACAGGGGGGACAGTGGACAGTGGTGGGGACGGTGGTGGTGGGGACAGTGGTGTGGGGACAGTGGGAATGAGGTGGAAACAGTGGGACAGTGGAGGGTACAATGGTGGTGGGGACAGTGGTGAAGGCGGTGGCGAGGACGGCGGTGGGACAATGGGACAGAGGTACAGTGGGGACAGTGGTGGGGACAGTGGGGACAGTGGTGGGAACAGTGGGACAGCTCAGTGGGACAGCGGAGGAGTCAGTGGGACAGTGGGGACAGTGGGGATAGTCGGGCAGTGGTTGGGGCCGTGGAGACAGTGGGGAGAGTGGAACCGTGGTGGGAACAGTGGTGGGGACAGTGGGGACAGTGCGACAGTGGTGGGGGCACTGGTGGGGACAGTAGGGACGGTGGTGGAACCAGTGGGGACAGTGGTGGTGAGGACAGTGGTGCTGGGAACAACAGTGGGGGATGTGATGCGGACGGTGGTAGGGACCGGGAGTCGTTTGCTGGCGGTGCGTGTGGGGGGGGGGTCGAACCGGTAGTGACCCCCCTCCGGTTTTCGAGGGGGGGGGGGGGGGGGGCGAACCGGTAGTGACCCCCCCCCGGTTTTCCAGATCCGGAGGGGGGGGGGGAGGGGTTCGAACCGGTAGTGACCCCCCGGTTTTCGGAGGGGGGGGGGGGGGGGGGGGTTAGGGGAGGGGGGGGTTTCGCCGGGGGAGGGGGGGGGGGTCCAGCAGGGGGGGGGGGGGGATTTTCGGAGGGGGGGGGGGGCGACCCCCTGGTTCCGGAGGAAAAGGTTGGCAATTTTCCACAGTAAAGCGGCGGTGGATCACGCTCTCTCTTAGTTTTGGGTCGTCCTCGGGGCTCCGCTAGTTTTGGTT